AGAAAAAAACAAGAAAGTCTAATTGTGGAGGGGGAAGCACCTTTGGGACATTTCACATGACCTGTAACCTTGTGGGATTTGGGACAATTTTTGGGGAATCCCACTTATTGTAGTTGTGCACGTCGGTAAAAATGTCTTAGTTGAATCCATCTCCCAACACTTTGATTCCTCATTTAAAAGCACATTCACAACAGTTCGAAAAAAACAGATTTGCAAGCTTCCCCAGACCCTCTTAACTAAAAAAGTCAGATCGGCTTAGAATGGGAAACCACCAGAGTTGTGCCTAAACTGGGAATTTCAAACTTCCCAGGAAGAGGAAAGGCACCCAGTTTCGGTAAAAATGATACTTTTACCAAAAACTATCTTGGGTGCACATGGGAAGCACCATGAGGTGAGCTTGACTTGAGGGAGACCTCAAGCAATAAATGTAATTTCACTAAATTTAAATGCAACTTTAGCACCAGCCTGCCTACCCTTTGAAGTCTCGGAATTCAAGATTTATGAAAGTTTTGAGTGGATATCTTTAAATGTATCTTTTCAAGGAACTTGCTTTACTTTCCATTCAATAAGTTCTGGTGATATAAAAGCAGAAGGGAGAATTTAGCCACATTAAATGGCATAAAGATTTAAATTTTGTAGTCACAGAGGAAACCAAGCAAAACAGCTTTATTTTTAAAAAATCACTTTAAAGATCTCTGGTTTAAAAACTTACTACTCATTGAAAACAAAATAAAAGAAACTTTGGAGAGGCTGAAGCCTTCTTAAAAGCATTTGTCTTCTGCAGTCAATGGGACTTCCCAGCAGGGAGACCACTGAGGCTGATAAGCAGTCAGGAAAACAAGGCAGTTAATCTCTCAACTGCATCTTCCAAGTACAGAGAGAGAAATAGTTTCAAAATGAAATTGGATTATATTAGCTCAAACGGCTTCTTGGGCTCATAGAAAAGTAATCAAAATTATATTAGGAATAAGCCTGTTTCCATTCTTTTTAAGCATTGCTTATCAAAATGCCAAATTTGGATTAGACGAAAAGGCTTCAGAGAAATATAATAGAACTTAGTATTTGAAGGATGAAGGGAACACGCAGGCAGTGTGTCCTCACAAGGAAGCCAAAGGCAATACAATGTCATGAAACACAAATGGCATGAACAAAATAACCCACTTAGTTTTGGCCAGAATGGGAATGTTGATTAGAATTCTCGCCTCTTCCCCCTTATATAAATAAGCTTCATTTTCTACTCTCAAGAAAATTCCTGAAACCAGATTGAATTGTCTGATGCAAAAAAGAGTTCTTAAACCTGCAAAGAGCTCTACAATAAACCATTATCACCAAGAAAACTGCAGCATTCTCTCCATTAATCATCAGATTTGTGTTGAGCATGGCCCACCTTGACTTTTCTACCCTAGCCAGAATAGCAATAGCACTTACTGTAGACTTATATACTGTTTCACAGTGTTTAACAGCCCTCTCTAAATGGTTTAGTCAGCCTATTGCTGTCAACAATCTAGGTCATTTTGCAAACTTCGGAAGGAGGGAAGGCTGAGTCAACCTTGAGCCGGTTAGGATCAAACCGCTGGCATCTGGCAGAATTAGCTTGCAATATTGCATTCTGACCACTGCAGAAGGCCACAAACCAGATGGATTAATGGTTTCACCTGACCCTTCAGGAGATCGTGATGTCTGCTGCTCCTGCTACTCTCTCTCAATGCTTCATGTGATTCCTCATCTGCCCATCTCCTGACTTCCTCCAAGGAGCAAAGCCTAATCTATTTTATGCATCTTCAGGCTGCCTCCCGGATGGTGGACAGAACTTTAGTATTTACACCAGGACAATTTATACCTTCTGACTGCTGAGCCAGAAACAGCATCATCATCTGGAGGCCATGGCAGAAAAATAATGCTCCACTGAGATGGGTTTATACTAGCATCAGGTCCAGGAAGGGCCATAAGCTAAAGTGGGCGGAGCTTAGACAGCTGCAATGCTGAGTTGGTCAGAGGTAGTTCAGCATACTTGGGGGGATGCAGGTTGTGATATGCACAGGTACCACAATTCCTTGGAACCTGACAAGGTAAAGGCAAAACGGGGGGAAATAAAACAAAGTAGCAGCTACGCAAAGCAGTGGGGCCTTGATTGTGTAGTCACACGCACTATTTTGAACTTTTTCAATAATCATTTTGGGGATTTGCACTTGGGAAACAGAGGAGGAACAATTCTATTTTTAAGAGCAAGGGAACAGTAAGCAGATTGTTTAGCCAGCTTTTAGAGAGGGTGTGATTGGCCAATGTTGACTTCTGTGTCTTAGGAAGAACTAGCAACCAGGTCTTTCTGCTCCCACTATCTGGGTTGGTGCTGTTCAGGTGCTCAGATTAATCTCCACAATTTCTAGTCAGAAGAGCTGGGTGGGAGCTAGTCCAGCATACTGGGAAGGTCAGCAGGTGTACTAACATGCGAGAAATGCCTTGGGAGACGGGGAGAGAGGCTTCCTAGAGAACCACCAGGTAAGAGACAGCTTAGTCCGCAGCTGGAGAGTGGGTGGGGCAAGAGGCCAAAGAGAGACCTTCCCTAGACTTTCAGACTGTAAAGGTGATGGCGGGAGAATTATACCTTCAGGCTTGCAAGATTCTATGAATGTAACTTTACAATAAAGTAGAATTAACATTTTTCCTGTCTGGTCTACCTGGTAAGGTTGACACCAGGATGGAGAAGGTGAGTTTATTCTGAATATGGAAGCTACAAACCACTACATACAATTTTACACTTTGATTTTCATTGGCTTTTCTTTTAGTAACTTTGTTCTGTTATATCTAATGTGTTTTGATAGTTCCCCAGATTGTTTAAATAGCCTCTAGAAATTCAACCAGAGGACATAAATTGAGTAATTTCACATTCTATAGGTAACCAAATCCCTAGTGTAGGCCATCAATGGGAGTAAAGCAAAGTTGAAACTGTAATTTTTTAAAACATGGAACACACACAAGACAAACTTGTAAGACGATACAAATACAGAAACCATCACAATCCACCCATATTACCATGTATCTGTGCAACAAGAGGAACGTATCCTGGAAAGAAGCAGGGCAGTAAACTGAAGAATTGTGGCTCATTGCTGACTTGGTGTTCACAATACAATTACCACCAGAAAGGGGATCCTTCAAGGACCCAATTTCCCCAACCCACCAGGTCCCGCCGAACATGGACATTCCCAGAAATCTTCACAGCGTTGCCTTTGGAATGCACAAGGGCAAAGTGGAGTTCTATTCACTTTGACCCAACAGGCTCATTCCAGGCTCTTTGCTGGGCCCTGCCGGAGGTCCCAGCTCAGCCACCAGTGAAGGTGCTGGAGCTCTACTCAACAGCACTTGAGACCACCGGTCCCCGGCTCTGACTCCCGAGTACCATTGGCTTCTCTCTCGTATTTCTTCCTAGAGGTATGGACCATCAATTGTTTTAAGAGCCCACAAGCAGTATATCCTGTGTGGTAGCTTGCACTGTACGGATGGGGCCAGCCACAGCACCCATTGGCTTTGGGTCCAATTAATGAAGACTGACTGATACTGAGCCAGTCAGGCAGCAAAGTATCTTAGGTGTTTCAGTTGGAGATGCTGAGAAATGAACTTCAGATTTTCTGCTCGACCATCAGCAGATGCAGACCTGAAGCCCTGCCACAGACACACAGATCAAGGCAGAAGGACCCCTTTGGTTTAAGCACGAGGCACATCAGGGCCCAATACACTGCAATCCCCAAGGTTCTTACTCCAGAGATTTGTAAACTTCTTATGTGCTCTTGACTTGAGGCAGAGCCGAAGCGTCCATTTAAGTTGGTGTTAAAAATATCTAAAATTAGGATTCCGTTGTGGCAGTTCTTCTTCAATTCAAACATCAAACTGGTGATGACGTTTCCAGTTTTTGCATGGACAGAGTCGTGTTTATACAATAATAATACAATAGCAGAGTTGGAAGGGGCCTTGGAGGTTTTCTAGTCCAATCCCCTGCCTAGGCAAGAAACCCTATACCATTTCAGACAAATGGCTATCCAACATCTTCTTAAAGACTTCCAGTGTTGGGGCATTCACAACTTCTG